GTTGGCCTGGGGACTGAAGGGTCCCAGGTTCAATTCCGGTCAAGGGCATGTACCTTGGTTGTGGGCACATCCCCAGTGGGGAGTGTGCAGGAGGCAGCTGATCAATGTTTTTAATTCTCTATCCCTCTCCCTTCCTCTCTGTAAAAAAATCAATAAAAATATATTTTAAAAAAAAGTTTGAGGACCCCTGCTCCAGAGTGTCCCGTGGTGGGTGGAGACAGGAGGGAGGCAAAGGTAACTCCATTTCAGGCTGAGGGTTCCTTCACCCGCTCACCTCTCTTTCCCCAGAGCAGGTGGGTGTGGGTAGAGGCTGCCCCAGCTCGTCTCAGTGAGGGGTTCTCCAGCAGCACACTCACACCTTCCTCTCCGGTCAACTCTCGGGATGTGTCAAAGCGCCACTGCAATGACTGTCAAGTGCATTAGCTCATTATCCGCACCTATAACTGTGCAGTCTGTCCCGCCCCTTTCTGTCCCTTTGTTGTGTAGCGTTAGCAGGTGGTCCTGAAGCCATTTGAGGCACTTAGGTAAACGGGATCTTCTCTCAAGGGCCCTGGTGATAGGTACAGGGTGACCGAGCCTTTCTGCCTCCATGAACACGGTATTATCAAGCCGGATTTCAGTTAAGTTTTTCTTTTCATATTACCGGGTTTATAAACGAATAAACAGACACTTTAATTACTCTTACCATGTCCATGAAATATTCATCTGTATGTGTTTGCCATCACAAAAGATAGACATAATATATAAAACTTGTGTTGCCCTAGCCAGTTTGGCTCAGTGGAGAGAGCGTCGGCCTGCAGACTGAAGGGTCCCAGGTTCAATTCCAGTCAAGGGCATATGCCTGGGTTGCGGGCTCAATCCCCAATAGAGGGTGTGCAGGAGGCAGCCAATCAGTGATTCTCTCTCATCATTGATGTTTCTATCTCTCCCTCTCCCTTCCTCTCTGAAATCAATAAAAAAATATTTTTAAAAAACTTGTGTTACCGAGTGTAAAAGAGAATTTGGAAACCTAGATAAAGTAGATACAGGCATTATGCAGTGGTGGCCTGGGTGGAGAGAGAAAGCCTCTGTTCCTTCTTCTTAAGTTACCAC